AAAATATTTCAGCATGTTATGAGGTTTAATTAAATACAGAATAATGGATTCCTGGAAGTGATTACAAGGCAGTAATCTATTCGAGGTGTTCAAATGACATCATAAACCCTTAGTGGAAAGCTCAAGGGATTCTTAGCTATCATCTGAACCCTGAGGTTAAATTACAGGCTTGAAATTGTTCCATATATCTGTGTTTTTAATATGCAATGCTTTAGTTTAATGTTTAATAGTGTTTGGTGGATGTTTTTTTTGTACCAGTAGAAGCTGTCAGTTTGGACACTGCTTGTCAGGGTGTTTTGTGTCCTTGAGGCGGAAAGAGTTTCTCACAAGATTAACAATTTGCTTCAGGTTTCAAATCTGCTTTTGATTACAGGAAAATGTCTGCGTCGGAAATACACTGAAGATCACATTGAGCATCAATTCAAAAGAATAAAATAGAAAAGTACTGAGGAGCAGCACGCTATGAGAGTGAGCAAAACATTAATTCAATCTATATTAAGAACCAAGTGCTCTAAAGTTTTCAGTTCAAAATACACTATAAATGCCCTGAAACAAAAGAGCTTTGTCTTACAAACCGAGTAATAAATAGCCTGCTTAGTTCAAACTACCACTAATATTTAGAGAGTAAACACTAATGAAATTAATTATTGTAAGGCACTAGCTAAAACAAGTCATAAATCACCAAGATAATTGCCACTTTTAGATATGCTCAAGATATACATTTACAACAATGTAAACATACATTGTAGCAATAGGAAAGTGTGAATTTCAGATGAGCTGGAACTCATGTTTCCACTTGATCATTAACAATATGATCATGTCGCAAGACCAGTTTACCATTTTGGAAAGCAGCCAAGTCTGATGATTAAGCAGGCTTATCAAGTCTTGTGACAATAAAATGCTTTTTTAAAAAAAAGGCAATGTGATAAATTTGCATTATTCCAGAGAGTGTTTATGAATGTATGATCAGGTGCACTTATTATAGTTCCCAGCATGTTTACTTCCAAAAGAAAGCCAGAGAAGATGAAAGCAGCCACATCAGTGTTTACAGATGCCTGAATAGGGAACAGACAATCTGGAGCAGGCCTATTTTCAAAAGCATCCAGTGTCGAATGACAGGAAGTTACTTTTGAAGTTTAATAAAAATCTGAACAACATTTTTAGCTTCGGAAAATAACAAGCAGCAAGTGTTTACAAAAGGATAGCACCATCAGGAATTCTCATTTCTAGATGCAAAGATAAAAAGAAGCACATTGTAAACAAAATACTCCGTTTTTTTTTAAAGTGCACTCTGTGAAAAGTCATATCCATTTTACAAGTCCTGGTCCTAGAATACATTTCAAATAATGGATGGTCAGGAATGCATTCCAAATTTGTATGCAGCCTGAGTTGGTTTTGGCTTAGTGCCAGGAGTACACATCCAGGCCTGAAATTAACCATTCCTCACCATCTGTTATTTTCTATATATCTAAATACAGAGAATGCTCATTTTTATAATGTCCTCTGTCATTTAAAAGATGCCTCGAATGACTTTAAGATTTAGGTTGAGTATGCTTAGTTGTTTCATAATGTTTATTTTATTCAATGTTTTTTCATGTTGTCTGAAAATAACTGCAAATCTGGAATGTGCACAAATGTTCTGGACTCTTATTAACTGAGACAAACATAAACTGTGCTCACTGCACACTTTACTTGAATAAGTTGTAAAGGACTAACAGTGGGCACTTCTGCAGATGTTCAAGAAGGCATAAAACAGATGGGAAGAAACTAATAAGTAAAATACATCAGGGGCTGACGATTGAAAATGTGCCACTTTTGAACATTACAGTTTTATTCAAGTTTCAAGATCTGCAGCTTTTTTGGGTGAACCTACAAAGCTCATTTTATTCTTCATTATTCTTAAGATAAATACACTAATATGGAATTAGACCCAAAATCATAGAAGATTTAATTTGCAATGTAACTTTACAATGTTAAGTATCTGCCTCCTTGTGTATAAGGAGCCAAAGATCACATTAATGCTGCTTTACATCCAGCTAATGTAAAGTTGTAATAAATTATTAATCTACTCAAAGGAGGGAAAATTTCAAGTATCAACAGTTTAATTCTTATATTATCCACTGTATTAAATTGTTTAAACTGTTGGCTCTTGAAAAATTCTCCCATACCAAGTGGATTATTCTAGCAAGCAATTTATTGCCATGGTAACCAGAAATAGGGAGCACATTTTCCACTCTATATAACTTTAACACAGTGCATTTTCAAGCATGCATGCTTGATCACAAAGCAGTTTTGAGCTATTTAGATTTTGATCCAGAAATACGATTATATGGCTGGAAGTGCCCAGCATCACATTTTGACATCAGAACATGAACATAGAAATTGGAATTCAAAAAAGAAGCAAAATGTTCTCGGCATAATGTATAACTAATGAATGCTTGGGAATGAGTCACAGGCGGTAACCCAATCGAGAGGCTCAAATGTCATCATAAACTGCAAGGACGAAACTCAGGTAGTTTATAAATACTGATCGAAACTTGAGATAAGGATATAGCATTGGACTTGTGCCTGGCAGCTATTATTAATTTAATACATACAGTGTATGCAATTTTGTATGACGGAAAATTAAATGTTTTTTGTCAATGTTCCTGTGTTTCTTGCTGTTTTTAGGAGTGTTTCAAAATAGTGCAGCAAAACAAAATGGAAGTGATTACTGCAGTTTTATTGAAGAAAAGTACTCAGAAAATTATCGGGAAATTCCATGCACAGAATATACTAGAGTAATGTAATAAGTGTTGTATTACTGTTCACTGTACATTAGATTCACATCTTGAACACTGTCACATAATTGATATTAATAATGCTTTCAACAGTTGCTTGTATAGTCAATAATGTCCTAAATATATTATTATCTGTGCAAATGAGTCACCACCTTCTGTATTTTTCCATTCAGTCTGCCCAGAAAAGCAACTCGTGAATGCTTTTAATTTCAAACATGCTTTTCAGTTCCAAAGCACATGAATGTAATGTGGAAGAAAGAAACAAGTTTGAATTTACAGTTGCAGTGATTGGTAATAATCTGTAAAGAAACTAATTAAAGTAATTTGATAACGTAATGGCAGCTGGAGTAAGAAAATACCAGTGTTCTAAAGTTCAAGGTTAATACTTCCAAGTAAAGTAAACACAACCAAACCTGCCAACTGCATTTTGTCAGTTCTACTCACTTACCTGGCAGGAGTCCAATAGAATGTGATTTTGCAGTAGAAATACCTGATCCACATTACAACACAGTCCTTCTCAAAGCTGATATCATCTCCTCTTGGGTTACATAGAACCTATAGAATGTTGCAATCTGCAAACTATACATGGCCATATACTTCCTTCTCCAACCGAAGCAAAATGCATACTCATTCTATTTTGGCACAGTCCTGTTCAGCAAAATCATCAGCAAACAATGCCACAAACAAGATAAAACATAGTATATGCAAGACAATTAGTATGTCTCTTTTTCCTTTGAGTCACAATTGTCTATTGAAGCTTAAACTGAATACTTTTCACCAGTCCAAGTTTTCTGAATTATTCTACAAACATGGCTGTTTTGTGAAGAAGGAAGTGATAATTCACTGCAACATATTTATCTTTCTTTACTCATTGCCTTAGCCAACAGGGACTTCTAAGTTAAATAGAGAATTTAAAGAATGTGAACAGAAATCACATCCAATATTTTTGACCTCTGAAAATTAGTGTTGTAATAATTCACTAAAGCACCACATAAACATGATAATTGGAATTCAAAAAATAAGTTCCTTCAGCTCACTCTTTTGTAATATTGGATTTATAAACAAAGGAAATGCCTTCAAGGCTAAAATTTGGAATGCTGATTGTTAACAGTTACATAAAATAATCTTTTTAATTGCCTTACATGTACAATTAAACCTGCCTCGTTTTAATAACTAGCAAAGTTACACCACTTTTCTGCCTTCGATATTCCAGTCTTTTCAATTTTAACTGTCTAATGCGTGCGTTTAGTCAAACAAAATGACATCAATATTGGCACACCTGCAAAAATGTTGCAATTATAAATTTCATTTTTATAACACTACAAGGAATATTAGCTCATACAATATTGTCAGTGAGTTAGACAAACCCTATAACTCAAGGCAGTTCTCTTATAATTACCATCCACTATTCAATCAGTTCATGAAAAGACCATTTACCTTTGATATATATATATAACATTTACAGCACAAATAGTTCAATAAATATTTAATGGCTACAGTAGGCAATAGTTTCAGTTATTGACATGAACTTTCAATGCACCATTACTTATGTGCAGCTGTAATTATTTTCATTTACAGCGCCCCCTGTGTAGGATTGCAAGAACTGCAAAGTTCTCACTGCATTACGGGAAACACAGTTGGTACTGGGCTGCCAAAATACTGTAAGTCTGTTTGTTTTGGTGTAATGTCACTTGCCTCAGGGATGTACAAGCCATTTTCAGAGTTATCCTCCCCCCTCACTGAATCATTCCAGCTAACTCTTATATATTTTTGTTTTCCCTATGCGTACACAGTCACTACACTTGATAACAGTTCCTTATGCAGCCCTTTGAGACCAAGGAAAGACCTTGTTGCTTTTCAGTCAACTACTTGATTTCATATGAAAATATTAAAAATTATTTTAATTTGCTACCTTTCTGAAAACTCTTCCAAATAGTACAACATAATAGCATAAATCACTGCTTATTTTAAAGCTAAATATGTGAAGGTTTCATTTCTCAACAACATGGCACAATGATCCAAGAGATTGTCAAAAAGAGATAGAGATACTGTTTCCTTTACATTTGATTTCACTTAATAATGTAAAAATGATACCAGTTCTTACATCAGAATATATATTTCAGAGGTTATGCAATTCTTTGGTTAAATATCCTAAAACAGTATTAACTTCCTCAATTGTAAATTTTGGTTTCTGTCTTCCAAAATAAGTCAAGTACTTACCAAATTCATCACAAATGCTCTCATTTTCTATTAAAGCTGGATGATCAAATGTGTCACGGCAGTACAGAATTCGGGTACTTTCATTTAATATTGCAATGCCGCCCAAAGCCATCACAAATTCGTCCACTAGCCAGGAAGATGATCTGTCCTGAATCCTTTTAAGCATGGATTGATAGCGACAGTACTGTGGGTAACTGAGGATAATAACTTTTATATCATCGTCGTCATCATCATCTCCACCTACAAAGGGAAACAGACGTGACATTTTTCACTGAGAATGTTGCTACAATTATTTATGAAAGAAAATAGACAGTGCCTGTTACTATATCATACCCAATCCTTTTTAAAATTAATACATTTTAAGTCACTGGAAAACTTAATGCATCATCCATAATATTAAATATTTGTTTCCATTGTCTATAGCACTGAACATTAGACAGAGTACTAATGTACCAAGGAAAATATTGCAGTCCATTATGACAAAATGTAACAAATAACCTTGAAGGCTCAATAATATGAATCACTTAAAACACAATGCATTAAAAATTTACATAGAGATATAATAAGCCCCATTATGAAGTTTATTATAAGATGCAAACTTACTCATTATCCATTTAAATATTTATTTGAAAGAGCATACAACACATATATAATTAATGCATAACAAACAATCATTGAAATAGAATTTTAGAAAGCACTTTGCTATAGTTGGAACTAACTTAGCCCATGGCAAGCTAAACAGGACATCACAATAAAATGGCTAATGCACTCATAGGATCATGCACTAACTCAGCTTCATGGATACCATGCTCAGAGTTGTGACAGGTACACAATAATTCAGCTGCATTACTTGTTGTGATGGGCTAAATATTAAACAATATAGTTACTAGAAACATAAACCATTTGTATTGAACTAAATACAGTAATTGATCTGATACAATGCATGATCTGAATTCTCTAAGAATGTTTAATATGCCAAAATTGAATTAATGATCTTCATAATAATTTAATATAATTTCATACAAACACATCTGGATGGCAAAATCTCTGCTGGGTAATGCAGGAGAGTGTGTAATACAGTCTCGAATAAGGTTCTGCTATAGTTTTGCTGACAGTGTTATTGAACCATTGAAAAAAGGAAAGATTGGGTCCATAGGATAAACGTACCAAGTACCAAGCTATATATTCCAGGTTTGATCCTTTGATCTGTTTGATATCTTAGCAGGATAATGGCAAAATCCTACTGATGGCTACTTTCCTTGTCATTATCCAGAGACCCCTGATAGAAATTAATTTTATTGGTTCTTAAATGATCTTAAATGCTCCTCTCTTGCCTTGTACATTTAAGAATGGCAGTGACAAAAGGTATTAGCTCTGCTTCATGTCAATATCAAACAAGTTTCACTGTCTTCAGGAAAAGACACGTTAGGAAAAAAAATAAAGGAATTATAAAGGGAAATATAAAGCCTTTATAATTGAAACATTCAAAAAAATAACATTGTTAAAACTAAAGTTGTTCCTATGACATTGCTATGTTTGATACCATCAAATTGGAATTTATCAACACTTTTTTTTGCGAAATGTACACTTGAAAGTATTTGTTCAGTTTATTGGAGGACAGGAGCACTCTTCCAAATATTGAAATTAATTGAAGTGCTAACATAAACCAGTTGTACTGAAAACTAAAACCTACAAATGCAAAATCACAAATGTTTCATCTGTCCGGGTGAGAGGGACAATTGCTACAGCTACTGTAATTGATGGAAAGAAATAATTCCAAACTCTAAACAGCAGGAAAGCAGTAATTGAACAGAACTAAAGTAGCTTGCAAATGATTAGTTAAATAACTGAGCTGTTAAAGGCAAGCAACTCCATCAACTCACCCAAATATGTAAATTTAAGATTTGTAAAGGATCTTGGAAAATTCAATTTTCTAGCCATTTTCTTACATGGAACAATTTTACACCCTTATATATGATCACCTTATAATAATATATAATAATAATCCTTGCATTTGATGTAGCGCTTTTCACATCTTCTAGATGTCTCAAAGCGCTTCACAGAATATACTGTAAAGTGAATTGACTGTATATTTGTGGGCGAAACGTGGCAGCCAATTGCGCACAGCAGTGACCCACAAATAGTCGTGGATTGAAAATGATCAATCTATTATAGTTTTGTTTTGGAGGGATTATTATTAGGCGTGTGGAGTAAGGAAACTTGCCCAAGGTTTCGCCCTGCCTGGAATTGAACCCAGATGTCTCGCTTGCAAGGTGAGTGCTCTAACCACTGAGCTCCAGGACTCCACCTTAAAAATGTTTGTAACTATATCTGCCTTCCATTAAAGTTAGTACATTTCTCTAGGTGCCTACATTGTAGTTGCAACTGAGAGGTCAGACAGTGGATACATTTATGTTCAGCCAGTGAAAAACAAACATTCTTTTCTTGCATCTTTCATTTAATTCCAACCACACCCACAATTAAACTCATATATTCATTTCAGCAAGTGGATTATTGGCGAGCACATTCCCTATTTCTGAAAGTGACATCTGAAATACTGAATTTCATTTGATATTGTCCAATGTCTATTTGCTTGTAATGGCAATAAGTATCCACACACTTGTGTAAAATGTATACTGCTTTCGCATTCAAGAAATTATTTTATATTATTAAAAGCAAGTCACTGCATAACCCTTAATAATATTCTAATTTATATTGTATTAATTATACTATAATTACAGTTGAGCCCTTACATCAGCCTCTGTTATTTTTATATCCCACCCTTCCTATCCACCTATTTTGATATGCAGTATACATACATTTCTGTTAGTATTCTGCAACATCAACAGTTTTGACAAAGGGCACAGTTAAGAACTGAGCTTCAACCTGTTCAGCTTTATTTAGACATGTAAGTGATGCAGTGATGTATGCAGAAATAATGTAAGGATGTGCAATTTATATAAAATAAATTTAATTTATGTAATTGAAGACAAGTGTAACTATTACAATAATATTATGATACTAAATTATATCTGAATTTATTGTCATAAAGAAAATATCTCTATTTAGTGAGGAGTCAACCCATCACCCTCACCAAAGACAAAAAGTTTTGAACAATTTTCTTTTGGAAGCAAAGCCTGATTGTGCTCGTTCCCCATTCCCAGTCACATAATTTGCTAAGACTCATTGTCAAAGCTCAACCATGAAAGCCATTTGGTTGAGGCGGTGGAGAGGTACTGATACCTGTGAAATTGTATTCAAGGAGAAGAAAAAAAGGAATCAATACGCTTGGGGGAGGAGTGAAAGGAGGGGAGAAAACTTAAGATTTAATGAACCTTACAACCAGCCTCATTTGGCCAAACTGGCTGTGTTGGTGATAAATCAGCCAGGTATTAACCCTATTCTGAAAACATTTGTGAATGAGTTTTATTCATATTCTAAATTATTGCAAGATATAAACAAATATATAATGTCTTTCATATTTTCTTTACTTTGCTTTCTATTGGTGAAGAGCCTCATTTTGCTTGAATTCAAGGTGTATGTTGTGTTGAAATCTGTCTACTGAACAGGATTTGACACTGATCACACCAGCAACAACTACCATAAAGCATTATAGGATAGATATCTAATTAGTGGTACTTTGGAATAAATTATTTATACAATATATGACACGTGTAAAGTTTTTTAAAAAACATTTTGCTTCACTTGCAAATACTTAGCTAAAATCGGGCTTCTTCTACACGTGCCACAAATTCCCTTGTTGCAATCTAGTAGTTTGTGTAAGTCAGCCATCGCTAATGATTTATGTCTTGTACAGCTGGAATATATCATTTGGACTTATTCTGTATAAATTTAGTCATAAATACTGGAAACAAATAAAACAGTTCAGGCAAGCTGTTTTTTTTAAATTCAGTTTGTTTAAGACAAATTGCAAAATTAAGTAATCGGCATAGGTATTGAATCTTGCATTCTAAAATTTCAAATAAAAAGCAATTAATAAAATTAAAACAAGCACTACGAACGATTTCAGCAAAAATGTGTTAAAAAGAGCACCATGGTGCTTTACTGCATGTATAAACTTTAATGCAGTACAAAGTGCTTAATAAAGTAAATCATTGCTAAATTTTATGTTCTTAAATTTTAAATTTTCAGCGCCTTGGGACGTCCTCCCAACGTGAAAGGCGCCAAACAAATGTAATTTTGTTGTTGTTGTTGTTCTGTCAATATAAAAACAAAATAAAACCTTGGATTGAAATAAACAGATTGATTTGAGGGAAATACTTGAAGCAGTCTAAGGTATAGTGAAAATTGTATCTAATGCACTGTGAGTTATTCCACAGCTCCAACATGGTGGTGTATGTGGAATAGGATATTCCTGATAGTTACAGGAATGAATCTCCTCAAAAAATTCTCCAAAACAATAATGAACCTTTAAATTATCAGTAGCCCGTGGTCCCAAACACACCCATAGATTTGAGTAACAGCACTGAATGTAAACACATATCATAAGAAGTCCAAGAACTTTGGGTGCAGAGCCAGAATAGAATCACGACGTTTATACTGTAGTGGTACTAATCAATGTACTGCCAAAACCACATCCTCAAGGTAGTCCCGGAAGTGGAATTCACATCCAAAGTGTGATGCTCAACCCTGATTTATATTACATCACAAATGATTTGCCATGTAAACACAGCAACAGCACACACAACATCAAATCACTGGTAAACAAATCACGACTAACACAATATATTTAAGATACTTTTGCTGCTTCTTGCACTGGTAAAGGTGTTTAAATGACTCAAATATAAAGTAATCTATTGGGCAACAAAAAAAACCTTCTTTTGGACTATTGCAATCAGGATGGATTATAATGCATTTGTACGTTAACCTTTTTCTATCCTAGAAACATTCGGGGCTTTCTAACAACCAACAAATGTTAATCAAGTACAAAATCTGTGTGGCATATTTCCAATAATCACTAGCAGCCTTTCAAGACTACTAATCTTTTTGTTTGGAACAGAAAAAACTGTTTTACAGCAGTATTACATATCACAGCGTTCAACGGAACACCAAATCCTATTTCAGAACACATTTTTGGGATAAAATAGATGTTCTTGATAAAATTAAAAACAGTGGGCTACATATTTTTGTCTTTGTGCAATGGTGCAAAACACAGTATGCACTGATGCAAAGCAAATTTCAGGTGTGGAACTGAATATCTCCTCCTGTCTAGTCTCTAG